TATATAAAGAGGTTTCTCTTTTCAATGCTTTTAAAACGCTCATCCAATCACTTGATTAGGGTTGACATCATAGTCTTTATACCTGCATCATTCTAGAATATCGTGTGTCTTCCCTTCAGAATTTTTTGTTGCGTTGTTGTTTTAAATTAGACTTAGGTTATTAAATTATAAAGAAATATAAATACAAATACCAAAACAAATATGAGGTTTATAAAATATAGAATTACAAAAATAATTGATTTTTATAAATAAAATATTAGGTATACATGTAAACACGGGCAAAAAAATGTAATAAATATTTGACAAAATTCAAAACTCCGGCTAAAATTATGCTGGATTTGCTAAATTTTTGCCGGAGCCGGATTTGGGCCGGATTTGTTAAAATGGCCGGATTTCGGCCGGAGCAGGAGCCGGAGCCGAAATCCGGTACAGCCCTAATTATATCCGAACCAGGATCCATCTATTATGGCCACATTACACCAATTGCAGGGTCAAGCAAAGTTATTACGGCTGAGTTGATTGCATATTTGAGTAAAAAGAATGTTGACCTGGGTGGTATAAAAGCTGTAGGTTGTGACGGAACCGTTGCTAATACAGGCAATCGAGGAGGTATCATTCGATTACTTGAAGTGGCGTTGAACAAACCGCTGCAATGGTTCGTATGTCAGGTACATGCTAACGAATTACCGTTAAGGCATTTGTTCGAACATCTAGATGGACCTACCAATGGTCCAAAAGGATTTTCTGGTCCAATCGGAAAATCATTGGTAGCATGTGAGAAGCTTCCCGTTGTCAAATACACACCCATAAACTGTGTTCTACCGACAGGTTTAAATTCTGACGATTTAAGTACAGATCAAAAATATCTGTTTGACTTGTGCACCGCTGTCAGTGTTGGCGTTTGTCCTGTAGGCCTTTCACTTCGCAATCCTGGTGTTATCAATCATTCAAGATGGTTAACAACGGCTAATCGAATACTACGCCTGTATATAGCCACAAGATGCCCATCGGATGAATTGAAGACAATGGTTACCTTCATCGTAACAGTTTATGCACCAGCATGGTTTGAAATAAAAAATACTTCTTCATGTAAAGATGGCGCTTGACATATCCATAATACAATACTGAAATCACACTACCTCACAGACGAGCTGAAAAAAGTTGTTGATCCAGTAATTCAACGCAACGCATTTTTTACTCATCAAGAAAACCTGTTGCTTGCGATGCTTACCGACGAAAAATCAGAAATACGCGAGTTGGCTCTGAGACGTATAATGAAATCCAAGAAGCAGGAGCGCACGAGTTCAGTTAGATCTTTCTGTGTGCCAGTAATCAATTTTGAAGCTAGCAGTTACATAGACATGATTGATTGGCAAAAAACTCCAATCACAGAGCCTCCAATCGTAATGGACGTTGATGACGATACTTTTTTAACCATGATCCGGGAAGAAGTTACACCAAGACTGGATTTAACCCGCTATCCTTGTCACACTCAGTCGGTGGAGAGGCATATTAAGCTAGTTACAGAAGCTTCCCAAGCGGTTTGCGTTCCAGAAAAACGCGACGGATTCATAAGAGCACGTTTGGAATCGAAATCAAAAATGCCGAAACTGGACACTAAAGCACAACATCATTTGTAGCTATAAAAACATGTTTGACTAGAGTTTTCATGTGTTTTTCTTTTCAAATATTTAGTTATATTTACTTGTAACTTTCGTATAGACTGTTAAAAATGTATACTGCTACACAAATATGTTGTCATATATAAACTTGAAATTTCAAAAAATATTGTTTTTTATTTGAAATATGCCTATAATTCAGGTCAATTGTGGAACCTCAAGATATGCTTTAAATCGTTTGATTGTTTGCCACATTACTAATTGCATATGTCAGCAAATTTTTATAGCTATCCAACCAAGATATTCAACAAAAAATTTTTTCCCTCCACCCTAATATATATATATATATATATATATATATATATATATATATATATATATATATATATATATATATATATACATATATATATATATATATATATATATATATATATATATATATACATTCTGTCAAAAAAGTTTTCATCCACCTATTCTGTACATTTTTCAGACGTGATAACTTTTTATTCAGCAAAGATATAAGTATAATTTTAACTAAATTATATCAGTTAACCATTCAAGAAGTATTGTATAAAAAGATTTTACAAAATAATAAATAAAAAATATAATACGACATTTTAAAATAAAAAACGTCCGTTTAAGCGCCAAAAAAGTTTTCATCCACCCTGCACTCCAACAATTTGTTACTAAATCAGTATTAAAGTAACATTTTTAAAATATAAATTAGATTTAGTAAGATTTTTGTATTATTTTTTCTTTATATGAATTTTTTATATTTATTTGTGTTAGATTATTAACAAAAAATGAGAGTTGCAGAGGAAATGAGATTGCTTATTGTTAGACTATGGAAGGAGGGAAAATCACAGCGAAAAATAGGAGAAATAGTAAAGAAATCACATGCAACTGTGCAGTCAATTACCAAACCACCAAAAAAATACCAAACCATCAAAAAAATTGCTGATAAGCCACAAACAGGACGTCCAAATAAAATTCAAGTATTGCATTGACAAGCAAGAACAGCCATCCAAAATCTTAAAATAAATGCTCCAAAAATTGCTGGAATGCTGCAAAGTGATTGCAATTTAAAAGTGGACCCTGAAACTGTTAGAATAACCTTAAGAAGAGCTGGATACAATAGTAGAGTACCATTGAAAAAGCCATTAGCCATAAGCAAAAACCATTAGCAAAGTCAACAAAGCCAAACGACTACACTTTGCAAAACTTTATACTAATAACCCACAGACATTCTGAGAAAAAGGTTCCTTTTAGCGATGAGTCAAAATTTAATTTGTTTTCATCAGATGGAAGAGTTAAAAGTTGGAGAAAACCAAATGAAGCATTTAAAAAACAAAACTTGTGTCCAACGGTGAAGCATGGTGGAGGAAGTGTTTTAGTGTGGGGGTGTATGAGTGCTTCTGGTGTAGGTAACTTGGTTTTCATTGATGGAAATATGGGTCAAAATGTGTATTTAAACATTTTAAAAAACAATCTGGAAGAAAGTACCTACAAATTGGGACTTACTAGGTCATTTATTTTTCAGCAAAATAATGATCAAAACATACAGCTAAACGTGTCAAGGAATAGCTTATATTTAAAATAGCTAAGCAACTTCATACCCCACCACAATCTCCAGATTTGAATCCTATCGAACATCTGTGGGATGAATTAGGTAGAAGAATAAGCACTCACGATGTAAGGAATAAACAACAACTACAATTAGTAATTATGAAAGAGTGGGGTTTAATCACTTCAGAAATTACAAAAAAATTAGTTGATTCTATGAAAAACAGACTACACGAAGTAATAAAAGCTCGTGGTGGAAACACAAGATATTAAAACACTAAAAAATTGAGTTCGAAAAACAATTTTATTTGATTTTTGTAAAGTGGATGAAAACTTTTTTGAGACAAAAATGTCTATCTCTAATTCCAAAATGCTGTATTTTGTTAGTTACTCATTACTTTAAAAAATTTTCTTTGTACAATATTTCTTAAATGTTTAAATGATATAATTTAGTTAATATCATACTAACATCTTGGCTGAATAAAAATTAATTGCATTTTTAAAATGTGCAAGATAGGTGGATGAAAACTTTTTTGACACAGTGTGTGTGTGTATATATATATATATATTATATATATATATATATATATATATATATATATATATATATATATATATATATATATATATATATATATATATATACATATATATATATATATATATATATTTACATAAATATATATATATATATATATATATATTTATATATATATATATATATATATATATATATATATATATATATATATATATATATATATATATATATATATATGTATATATATATATATATATATGTATATATATATATTTATACATATATATATATATATATATATATATATATATATATATATATATATATATATATATATATATATATATATATATATATATATATATATATATATATATATATATGTATATATATATTTATGTTACAAAACAACTAAATAATCTCAAATATATCACTGTTAATTGCAAATTCAATATAATGTCTAAATAAAATTGTAAATAAAACTTGACTTATTACTAAAAAATCAAGTTTTATTTACAGTTTTATTTAGAGACTATTGATAGTATTAAATTTTTTAAAGGTCATACTATTTAGTGTTACGTTTTTGTATGTAAAAAAAACCACTAAACAATATGAATTATATTTACTAATTAGTTATTAGTAAACTATGTTTTATTTATTTACAATGCTATAAAATCCTTTTCTTGTTAACTGAAATTTCTATAATTCATATTGTTTAGTGTTTCTTTTATATACTATAAAAACGTAACACTAAATAGTATGAAAATTAAAAAATTCAATACATAGGAAAAGATATAAACCCTATATAATATAGGAAACTAATTTTCAGAAGTACCTATCTAAGATAGGTAATTCTGAAAATTAGTTAGTATATGCAAATTATTTAGTATATAGTAAAGATAGTATCTTTAATAAATATCTCTATCTATTTATAACAGCATCCATAAAAAAAATCAGCCCCTAAATTACAAAAAAAAATTTTGTGAATGCGCTGCTTTAAAAACATACAGCACTTTAGTTCCAGTAAAACAAATATAAATATATTAAAATCTCTAACTTGAAATTAAAAACGCGTATTATTATTATTATATATTTTTATTTAAACTCAATTACAGTTGAACAACTTTGCCTTTAAAATTACGATTACTTTTACAATTTATAAAATAAATTCAGAAAAAGTTTTTTTTTTTTTTTTTTTTTTTTTATTCTTTTGTTTCCGGTTCCTCTTTCACTGCTTGAGTAGCATATGCCAATGGCATAGCAAGATGGATATATTAGAAGCCAACTTTGTTGAATATGTTGGCCCCTACAATATGAAAGCCTTTACTTCCTAGTCGATTCGCCGCTTTTTTGACAATAAGGTTTGAGTCATCGTTCATTTTAAACATATTAGCCAAAGATGGATGGCACACTCCCGACAATGCCGACATTACTATTTTTGTTGCATGAACCTTTCTTCGCTCCCCAAAGGTGTCAAGCTTTAGTTCTTCCAAAAGGGGAGCTGAATGAGTGTTCCTAGGTTTGTGACATAAAATTCGCACACACTGCTTTTGTATAACGTCAAGTCTCTTTAGTTGTGCTTTGGATTGACCAAGGTACAATATGCTGGCATACTCTAGTTGACTTCGTATAAGTCCTGTATACGCAATTTTCAAAAGTTCCCTTGGAAGCCTGACAGATGCTTTTGCCAATATTCCCATACTAGAGTGACATTTTTTAACGGTTGAATCTATTTGTTCTTTAAATTGGAGATGTTGATCTATAGTGACCCCTAATAGCTTCACATGAGTTACTGGTTGAACCTCAATATTTCCAATTTTAATGTGTAAGTTATCAGGAAGTTTTTTTCTCGGTGATTTGAAAACTATAAGTTGCGTTTTACTGGAGTTGATGGTGAAACCATAATCAACACAGAACTTATTTGTATCTTCAAATGCTTTGCTTAGTTTCTCAGTGACATCTTCTATTGAGCTGTCTGCAGCTGATAGAGTAATGTTGTCTGAAAATAATTAGGATTCAGTTGTTAATGCATGTGGAAGTTCTCTCATGTAGATTTTAAATAGTTCAGGACTAAGACCACCACCTTGAGGTACGCCTCATGTTATCGACTTCCATGGGTTATCTTATTACCGTTTTTCACCCTCTGAACCCTTCCTTCTAGGTAATTATGAAATAATTTACCAGCTTTTTGGTTTAATCCTATTTTAGCAAGCTCATTTAGTAGGTTTTGATGTGGAACACTGTCAAATGCTTTTGTTAAATCTATCAATAGGGTGCCTACAAGTTTTCCTTCATTTAGCGAGCTATACCAGAAGTTAGTTGCTGTTATTAATGCTGTTTCACAGTTGGAGTTTTTCCTGAAGCCAAATTGCTGGATTGGTATTAATATCTTAGCTTCACTATATTCGGATAGTTGTCTGCATATTATTTTTTCATAAACTCTCGAAAGTAATGGTAATACTGAGATTGGGCGATAGTTTTCCAGATCAGATTTACTGCCTTTTCCCTTCCATATTGTTGTAATATTAGCTTTTTTCCAGATGTCAGGAAATACACCTTCATCTATAGATTTGTTTAGAATGATGGTTAGATTTGTTGCTAGAGAATTGGCGATTCGTTTGATTAAAAAAGCTGAGAGTCCATCATGTCCAGCCGATGAGTTGTTTTTTATTTGGTTAAGTTTATTTTGGTTTCTATTTTTACTTTCTTAAAACTAAAGCTGTCGATTTGATCACATCCGTCTGGCCATACAAGTGAAGTCCTGTCTTTGCATTGAACTGTTGAAGCTAGATGGTCATTTAGATTGTCAAAATTGATTATATTTTTATCAAGGGTACAATTTTTATCTTTAGTATTGAAACACATTTGCTTAATATATTTCCAACCATCTTTAGGGTTTTTGCTATGAAATGCTTCTGTTCCTTTTTCTATTTCAAACTTCCTTATAAGGCTTCTGATCTGTTTTTTAATATCCTTAAGTTCTTTTTCTTTTTCATTTGTAAAGTCTATATATTTTCCCCTTTTTTTAGCTAAATAATCTCTTCTTTTTATCATAATTTTTATTTTTTCATAAATCCATTGAGGTCTAGTTGTTCGGTATGGAAATTTTTTAACTGGGGCAAATTCGTCTATAATTATTCTAATTGCATTATACCAAGTACTTACTAGTTCGTTTGCTGTCATTGATAGCTCAAGTTTAATTAATTCAATTCTTTTATTGAGGTCTTCAAAGTTTACATTTTTAAATGATCTTTTCAATACGGGTTTCAGTTTATTTATAATTGAATCTGTTTTAATTGATGCTGATACAGGAAAATGATCACTAGTTGAGTTGTTATTTACTTTGTACTTAAGGCACTCTAGATTATGATCTATGGCAATAATATTAAGGCATGTGGAACAGGTATTTGATATTCTGGTGGGCTCAGTGTTCTGAATCCTCACTCCTGCTAGGTTAAGTGAACATAATAGCGATTTACCTGGATTGACACTTGATTTAATGAGATCTGCATTAAGGTCACCCATTAAAATTAGATGACATTTTTTGGAGATTTCTTTTATTAATTCATTAAAATTTTTCCACCATTCATTTTTTGCTTGAGGAACTCGATAGACACTTAGCAAGACAATAGGTTTTGAGCGCTTTGACATTACCAGTTCTAATATTATAAATTCAATATTCAACATAAGATACTTATCATCAAATTTATCAATTTTTTTAAATTTAATTGATTCTTTAACATAGTTAATAAGTCCTCCTCCATTACATGTCCTGTCTTTTCTAATAGCTACATATCCTGGAATATCTATTGCAGTTGTAGTAACATTTGAATCTATTTTGGTTTCTACAATATTGATTATGTCATAATCTTTAACATACTCGTTGACCTCAAGCCAATGTGCTCGAAGCCCATTTATATTCCATGTTGTTAGTCAAAGTGATTCTATGGTTTTTTTATGTCTTAATCTTTTACTTTTTCTTGGGAGTTGCGAATCTAGATCCTCTGTATTGTTAGCAAGATTATAGATTTTTGGTCTAACAGATGTAGTATTATGGATTTCTCTAATCTTTTTTTTTGTATTTGAGAGACTATGCTCTTTATCTGTATCTGTTTTACTTTTATTTTCAATATGATTGGACTTTGGTTGACTATTTTCTTTTTCTGTTCTGCTAATATTTATATCCTTATTGATGTCCTCAATATGTTTATTATTTTCATTATCTATACTTTCCTTATCAATTTTCATTATAGTTTCCTTTATCCTGGTTGGTTTGATTTTTAATTTTATTTTATTCTCATCAATAGTTTTTGTATCATTCGTTTTAAGATTATTAAATGTTGGAAAAATTATATTTTTTTCCAGCAGCTTCTGGTACGTTATGTCGATCACCTAGATTTCTTTTGATAATTTTCCCTTTCTTTATTTTGTAATTGTCTTTACCCAATACGATAAGCTCAGCTCTCAGTTTTTTATCAACTTCTAGTTGCTGCTTAGTCAAATCTGGTCTTATATAAACTGTTGGTCCCTCATATTTATTCTCTGTATTTCTAGGGTTCTTCCATATTTGTAGTAATTTTCTTCTTGTTTCTTTGTCCTTACTTTTAATACACAGAAGTCTGGTTACAGTGCTGCAAGGTTAAACAAGTCGTCGACAGTAAGTTATATCTGTTTTAATAATAGGTTGGCTTATTTTATAATTTCTATTAATGTAACTAATAATATCTTCAGCATCATTATTATTTTCAGGTAACCCTTTAACTATTAGATTTTTTTGTCTTTTTCTTATTTCCATAATTTCATCCTTAGTATTTAAGAAATTGTTATTAATCATTTTGAATTGCGTTAAAGAATTTTCACGATCGATTTTGTTTATATTTAAATGTTCGTTAATCCTTAAATTTACATTATCTCTGATTGTTTTGTTCATGGCTTCAGTTGTCAATTTTAATTCACTTTCCGTTAGTTTCTCGTTAATTTTGATACTTCGTTTTAATAAATTTATTTCATCTTTTAGTAGTTTCAGTAATTTGCAATTACGACATATTAACTTTAACTTTTCAATCTTGCTTTTATTATATTTAAAGTTCAACTTGTAGTTTTCAAATATGTCAACTTGTAGTTTTCAAATATGTCCCAACAAAGACAATTAGAACATTCTACCCAGTTTGAGCAGCTCATTATATTTCTCTAGTGATATTGCAGTTATTCAGCTATTATTACTCAGCTATTATACTCAGCTATTATTATTATTATTATTTATTTTTTTATACAAATTCAAAATTTACTACACGCGGTAAACAGCCATCTTTCCAGCCATCTTTTTTGCCATCTTTTTTATAACTTCTCTTCGTTAAAAAGGCGCTCTATAAATGTAGAGGCTATACTAAAGTAAACTAAAATATACGGTTAAAGTCCGTTATTTAAAGTTACGGATCTTCTCCGTATCATAAATACGGTCAAAATCCCATAAAAAGATGTGACTATTACAAAAGTCTAAAAAGTATAGGTAAAAGACCGTAATTTATTGATAACGGATTTTTGGAAAACACTAAATCCAATCCTTCAAAGTGCAATCTAAATTTTACTGACCGATGCGATCTTTAAAGTAAATATAGTTGTACTTTAAAATAAAAGAAACTCTGAGATTTTTAATAACATTTATTAACATTTGTATTTAATATTTATTATTAACATATTCCAAGATGATCACGTTGAAAAAAAAAAAAAAAAAAATTCCTAACGTAGATGCTCTAAGAAGTCCTTTTCTGTCATAAGACCGTAAGGACCTCTTAATGCACCTGAAAATTCATTCGCACTCGAAAAGACTTTTGTCCGGGACGGCAATCTCCTTGGTTACTGGTATTAGCTGATATTATATCATCATTAAACAGTAAAACAATATTTAAAAATTAGTTTTTTATTACTCGTAAAGCGATGCTTTATAAGATGGTATAGATAATATTTCGTCTGACTTTTTTTTTTCCTTTGAGTAGTCACTTTGGAAAGTCAAAAAAAAACTTTGGAAAGTCAATTTCGGAAATCAAAAGAACTTTGTAAACTTTTTGGAAGTGGCTTTACAAGTTTCACCGGAAAAAAAATTTAGACGAATTATTGTCTGGAGATGGTATTGAAAGTTCTGTCAAAGTAAATTTACTTATTTAAATTTAAATATTGAGTACTAGTTTTTATTTTTCATTTTTACCTCTACCAACTCTTCTTCCACCAGAAGGTTTTCATTTAAAATGAAGACGGTCTTTACCTATATTTTGAGCCTATTTAAGGAAAGGCCTTTTTGATTTAGGTGCAGCGTTGGCTTCGGCGCCAAACCAAGAAATCACATCTAGACAAGCATTCATTTACTAATTCCTTCAATTTCTTCTAGCTCAGCAAGAGATTTACTATAGTCGCCATATAATTTGATTACGTGGAAAAGTTGACAAGGAAAGTCATTTATAAAAATTGTGAATAAAAGCGGTCTATGTACTGATCCTTTTATTACACCACTTCTGATTAGACTCCAGTTAAATTGATTTTTACCAAGTACAATTCTTTTTTTTCTATTACTTAAGAAAGATTTTATCCATGCAGAAAATTTATCATTAAAACCGTACGATTTAACTTTATGGATAATGCATTCATGTAATACAGTGTCGAATGCTTTCGCGAAATCAGTGAATAGAACGTCGACTGGATGTTTGTTATTTAAAGCTATACTAACAAAGCCTCGACACTCTAGCAAATTTGAGAAACTTCTTTTTTTTGGCACAAAACCATGTTGTTGCGGCGCGATAAGATTACATGTTATAAAATGTTTCATCAAAAAGTCAAGAATTATACTTTCCATTAGTTTATTATGTGAGCAAAATCGGCCTGTAACTACTTGCAGTAAATTAACTACCGCTTTTGTGTAGTGGCGTAACGTTTGTGTGGCTCCATTGCCTTAGTAATGAACTTGAATTAAAAATTTTTATGAAAATTATTTTTATTGGAATACAAAATTACGTTGCACAGTTTTTTAGAACATATGGACTTACGGCAACTATTCCAATCGCTTTGTCAATATTAAAATTCTCTAGTTTCTGTAATAATTTGGTTTTACAAAAAAGAAAATTTGCGTTATCGTTTGCTTGACTTTAGGGATGGTTCTTAAATTCAGGAAGCTCATTATTTATATTATTTGAGAAGACTGATTGAAAGAGTTCGTTAAATATATAAGCTATTTTCGTTTTGTTGGTGATTAAAATGCTGTGTTTGTCTTGTATTGAACTGAAACTCGAATTTAGTTTTAATTTTGATTTACCATACGAAAAGATATTTTTAGGTTGGTTTTTTATCTTATTAGTTAATGACAATTTGAATCGCAATTTTTAAATTCTTTATATGGTTAGATAATTTTTTGCCTATTGTTTGATAGTCCGTTTTTTTTCAACTATGCTGTTTATTGTTGTGTTTGACATCCTAGCACTATACGAAATTTGTACAATGCACGATGTTTATCCTGTACATTTTTTTTGTATATGAGTCGAACCATTTTGCTGCATTTATTTTTTGCTTGTTTATTGTTCTAATAGGAATGTATAATTGACATGCTTCTTCTTATATCGATAAGAATGATTTGTAACATAGTTGAATACAATCGCACGGTTTGAGTAGTTGTAATTAATTCATGCTATCTATATATAGTTTTATATTCTCGTAATATAAAACTATATATAGATAGCATGAATTGGTTACAACTATGATAGGTATCGTTTAGTGTAATTTTGACGGTGGTTAGAGAAACGATGAAAAGATTGATTATTTTGAGTCTTATTTTCCCATATTATACAAGAGTGATAAAGTGTAATGTTGCTAAGCGTGGGTCCCGGAGATATCTCTGATACTTGTTCTTGCATTTTGGTAAATATTAGAATGATTGAAGACGAATCACCGGTATTTTTATAACATGTTTGGAAATTTACATGTTGAATAAAATGAAAATCATTCACAATATTGATAAAATTTGAGTCGTTTTAAAGACTTTTTGAATTGAATGTGTTGCATTCTACGTCCCATTTGATGTCAGCATAATTGAAATTGTTTGCAATCATTACCCCATCGAAATTTTTAGACGAGAGGTAGCAATAGGTTTCAGAGAAGGATTCATATATTATTTTATCTATTGGAGATAAATTTGCGCTAACAATATACTTGTCTATAGTTTTCATTGTTTCTTAGTCTTCTTGCAAAATCTAATGCTTTGAAGCGATCTATCTTATTATCAAATCCTACTAGAATTGGAGTTGGTTTGTTCTCCTAAACGTTTGAATTTCGTTTTTTGAATGGAATTCTCTCTTATATTCTTTCAGTGTTTACTCCTATTGAGTCATGTAACTTTGTTGTGCTGGTTTTATCAATATTGGTACGTTCTAGTGAGCCAGTTGAGTTATTTCAGCAAGCCCGTAAATAATTATATTTTTCTCTCTTTTTGACAAGTCATTGTTTATTTCAGTTATTGTTTTAACTAAAGAAGTCTATTCAGGTGATTTAGACAATGAGATGGGTTAATGTAAGTTACTCTAAAGCGATACAGGTGTGGTAGCGTCTTTTTTCTCAAGTTCATTTAATTGATTTTTTAATTAGATGTTTTCATTTAGAACCTTTTCTAATACTCTTGCTATAACTAGTAAATTTGGCAATGATACACAATGTTATACTTTCTGCCTGAAGTTAAAATAGGACTAAAGTGTTAGTGGCTTTGCATAATTTATTAATTATTAGAAAACATGACGAAAATTAGAAATAATCTATTTAAACTAATACACAATTCATACTGAATAAATTAAACTAACATAAGTGCTCAAAAAGAAAATGCAAACAACATCAAGACAACCAGACGTCATTTTTTAAGCTGGTTACCAATGAAGTTTAACACAGCAGTAGGTCCGGATGGTGTTAATGGCAACATTATAATAAGTTAATTTGATGTTATAAAAGAAATACTATTAAAAGTTTTTCCAATTTTAATTCAAAAGGGGAATTTTTCCACAAGCTTTAAAGTTAACAAAATTAATACCAATATTAAAAGGTGGTGACATTGAATTTAAAAGGTGGTGACACCGATTTCAATACTTTCAGTTTTCTCTAAAGAATTTTATATAAAAAAATAGATATTTATCTTACTACTAACAATTTATTATACAGTAATCAATATGGGTTCCGAAAAAACAACTCTACTGAAAATATAATTCTTCAATTTACAAGAA